TCTAAGCAGGCCTGAAAAATTAACATAAGCCAAATCTGTACCCAGAGAAGCAGATGCTGCCACCAGCAAGCAGTCTTCATTATTGTGCTATTTATATATTATGTACATATTTGAGTATATATGTATGCATATATTTATGAATGTGTGTATTTATCTATATCTATATCTATATCTATATCTATATCTATATCTATATCTATATCTATATCTATATCTATATCTATATCTATATCTATATCTACATATGTGTGTATCTATATCTATGTATATCCTTATTTGTACCAAAGAGGTAATGTTAATGTTAATGGCATATGTCTACAGATAAACATATTTTTTAATTTGTTCTTTTCCATTCTAGGTGAAGGGAGTAGAGTCTCCAATCTTGGTCTGGAGAGTAGGCACAGAAATTCCAGAGTTGGAGTATGAGCCGGGTTTTCCAGTCAGCCCAGCATCAATGACCAGAGGGACAAGGAATAACCTTTGGAAGTGACTTTCAGGATCCCAGCTCAGCAGAAAAACTTACCCCACATTCATGCCACATGTGGACATGAACTTGGTTGAGGGGGGAAGCAGCAATGTTTTGTAGAAACTCAATTAGATATCGAGCCTACTACCCCCAGAGACTGAAGTGGAGTAGAGGAAAAATGAAGGAAATTCTTGTACATTTGCTCTTGCTATATCATTGACGTCATTATCCCTTTGTAAAAACTGGGAGGGGGGAGAGGAGGAAGGAAAAAAACCCATTCGCCCCCATTCTAGAAAGCTAGGTGGCGCAGTAGATAGAGTTTGAAGTCAAATCTGGCCTTAGACACTAGTTCTGTGTCCCTGGGCAAGTCATTTAACCTATTTGCCTCAGTTTCCTCAACTGCAAAATGGTGACCTTGTTGTGAGGCTCAAACGACATAATAATTGTAAAGTGCTTAGCATAGTGTTTGGCATAGGCACTCTACAAATGTTAGCTATATTGTTATTTGTTATTGTTTCATCATTTCATTTGTGTCTAACTCTTCGTGACCCCATTTGGGGTTTTCTTAGCAAAGATTCTGCAGCAGTCTGCCAATGAGAGGCATTCTGCAGCATTTAAATAAACTATTGGAGCTGCTTCTCCAGATCATTTTACAGATGAGAAAACTGAGGCAAACAGGGTTAAGTGACTTCCCAGGGTCACACAGCTAGTAAGTGTCAGAGGCCAGATTTGAACTCACAAAAATGGTGACTTCAGGCTTGTCACTCTATCCATTGCTCCACCTAGCTGCCTGTGTTGTTATTATGTAAATATCTGTAATCAGAGAGTAATTGAACAATGCAGAGTATCTCTGCATAGCTACTATTAAACAATTTTTGTATGATTTACACATATTTTTGAGCAGCCTTTTGTCAGAGGAGAACCTTTGAGGGTATTTTGATTCACTGAATCAAATCCCCTTTTCTGGGGTGGCAGGGTGGGGTGGTAAGCAGTATACTTTAGTGTTTTAAACATCTGTTATTTCACTGGTATGGGTTTTTCCCTCAACTGATAGATTGCAATGTATCTGTAACTGAGTATATGGTCTTCAATCAATCCATGGATGGATCAACAAACAGTTATTAAGGGCTAGCTGGAGATACAAATACAAAAATGAGATAAACTCAGTTCTCTAAGAGCTTAAATCTACTTGGGGAATACGATAAAAGCTCCTCATTCTGTGGTTTACTTGATGAGAAACTGCTTCCAAATGAGCTCCAGGCTGGTCCCACTACTGGTCACTAACCCTGTCCTTGAAGCCTTTGTACCATGTCCAAACCCACCAGAGTCTACAGTGTACTGAACAGTCTTTGGGAACCCAAAGTCAGCTCTATGTAAGAATCCTAGAGGAAGACCTTAGGAGAGGTTTTTTGTTTTGTTTTACTTTTTTTTCCTTTTCTTTTCTGGGATCAACAAACAATAAATCCTGAGGAATTCCCTGCGCTTCCAAGTCAACTGTGTGATTGTGGAGGTGTGATCTGTTACAGAAAGTTGTCCGCAAGGGGGCAACTAGGTGGTACAGTGGATAGAGCACCAGCCCTGAAGTCAGGAGGACCTGAGTTCAAATCCAGACTCAAACCAAACACTTGGCACTCACTAGCTGTGTGACCCTGGGCAAGTCACTTAACCACAATTGCCTAAAAACAAAACAAACAAAAAAGTTGTCTGCAAGAGTCTGCTTCTTCCCTCTCATATTCCCATCAAAGATATCATCCTTATACATCTAGATCATTCTCATAGCTTATAGGCATTAGAAGGCAGATGTATGGGTGAGTAGTTATTGATATCATCTTTGTTCCATTTTGGGGTAATAATATCCTGTGTGATTTTTTTTTCTTCCCAGGCTTTTGGCATCTTCTCCTCTTTGAGTTATCATGAAAATTGATTGTGAGGCATAAAATATGGAGGCCTAGATTTCCAGCATTAGGTAGATAAGTAACATTGGATAGAGTGCTGGGCTTAGAATCAGAAAGACCTCACACACTTACTAAACTGTGTGACTCTGGACAAAACACAGTTTTGCCTCAATTTCTTCAACTATAAAATGGGGATAAGAATAATGGTTGTGAGAATCAAATGAGATAATATTTATTAAGTGCCTGGAATATAGTCTGCACTATATAAATGGAGCCTAGATAGGATTAAGGGTGGGAAGTGGCCTGGGGACATAGGGAGGTCCGGGCAAGGTTAAGGGTAATAGAGAATTGGGAGATTAGGTGTAGCCACAAAGAAAGGCCAATTGATCATAGGATTATAAGGATTATAGCCTCAGGAAAATGCCAGAGATTTGGCCACCTGGGAAAGTCCAGGGTTTTTCTTTTTTGGGTCTAGCTCCCAACCTCATCACTCTGAGTTCCCATCCCAGGTTGTTTATACCTCTAATATGCTCTCAGGATCATAGATTAAGAGATAGAAGGGGCTTCAGAGGTCATCTATGATCTAGCCCAACACCATTTTACAGATAGGGAAACAAACCCAGATTAAGGGATTTCCTGAAGGTCCCACAGATTGACTGAGGTCTTCTAATTCTCCAGTGGAGCACTCTCTTCACTAAACCACATTGCCATAGGAAAGAGATCATAGAATGTTACCATTGGAAGGGACTTTAAAGATAAATTTCTGAACACATTTGCTCCTCTCTACCAGACTATGAGCTCCATAAGGGCAAATGATCTTTTTTCCTCTGCATCCTCTATAGTCCTAGTACAGGGCCTTGCACCAGTACAGACTTAGTAAATTTTAAATGAAAGGAATGTTGACCCTCCCAGAGGAGAAAAGTACTAAGCCACGAGGGACAAAGTGGCCCCATTTTGAGACTGCTGACCGCTGAGAGAAGAATTTTGCTAGAGAAAAAAAATGAAACTGACCAAAGAAAAGCCCCTTCAGTCAGGATGAAAGACACACCAGGAAACCAACAGTCCTTGCACAACCAGCTTTGAACACTATCTTCAGTGGATACATCAAATCCAACCTCAGACACTCACTACCTGCATAATAATCCTGGGCAAGTCATTTAACCTCTATCTACCTCAGTTTCCCAAATTGTAAAATGAGGATAATAATAGGACGTCTCTTGTTGTTGCTCATCCTTCATTTTCAAAGACCAATGACATCACAGGTGAATGTCACGTGACTGATGAGTGAATTGGATTTCAGTGAGGCAGAGCTGCACAAAGGTCAGGCTCACTCTCTTTTTCCAGAGTCATAGAAGTCCAATGGCAAGACAAAAGTCAGAAAGACTGGTGGTCTTCAATGCCTGACCAAGCCTGAGGCTCTTCACAGTATATGGCACATAGTAGGTGCTATATAAATGTTTGTTTCCTACTGTTGTGCTATAAGAAAATGATGAGCAGGATGCTTCCCAGAAAAACCTGGAAAGACTTACATGAACTAATGCAGAGTTAAGTGACCAGAACCAGGAGAACATTGTACACAGTAACAGCAATATTGTCTGATGATCAACTGTGAATGACTTAGCTATTACCAACAATACAATGATACAATTCTGAAGGACATATGATGAAAAATGCTCTCCACCTTCAGAGAAAGAACTGATGGACTATGAATGCTGATTGAAGAATACTTTTAAAATTTTCTTTATTATTCTTGGGATTTTTTTTCTGGTCCTTTTTCTTTTATAACGTAGCTAATATAGAAATGTTTGGCATGACAACACATGTATTATCTATATGGAACTGCTTGCCTTATCAAGGAGGGAGAGTACAGGGATAGGGAGAATTTGGAACTCACAAATGTCAAAAAAATTGTTTTCATGTAATTGAGAAAAAAAATTAAATGAAAATAAATGCTTATTCCCTTCCCTTCCCAACTTCAAGAACTAAATAAGAGAATTCATGTCTATTCCACCTTTCTACATTCCTCTGCATTCCAGCTATGTTTCCTGTCCAGCAGGCTTCTAAACCCTTCCCTTTCCCCACACCTCTTAGCAGTTAGCCAAAAGAATGGATCCTGCAAAATCTCTGAGATGGACAGGAGGCACCCCCTCCCCTTTGAGGGTTCACTAGGAGAATATTGGGAAGGCATAGGTGCGAACCTGGTCATGAAAACCTGGTGATACGTGGAGATTAGGGAAAAGGGCAGTGACCTCTCTGCTAGGAATAAAGAAAGGCTGGATTTATTGGTCTTTGCTTAAGGAAGGACAAAGGCAGGGCGGGTGGGGACAGGACAGGATGTTTTTGGTAACCTCAGGACATAAGGGGCTGGACTGGTAATCTAGGGGCAGGGGGAAGCATCGAGATCAGCACCACGTACTCTGGTGTCTGCACACAGCCCGTGAGGCTGTGTGCTTTAAAGCCCTGGTGATTTAGAATCTGCACTCAGTATCAGGGCTCTGAGAAACTGCACCCGTGACCAAATCTGAGGTAAGAGCCCATGAGTCAGCACAAGCCTGGGGCTATGTGCTGCTGGCTAGCCTGAGGCAGAGGGGAGGAGGAGGGAAAAGGGGCGGGTCTTTGCGCTAGCTCTCCTGGTCCTTTCCCTATAAATTAGAAGACACAGTTCTGCCCTCTAATACATCTTTCTCTTGTTCATCCTTCACCTGTGAGGACTGCGTGCCTGACATCTACCTGCCAGCCATGGATCCCAAATGTAACTGCGAGAATGGTAAGGCACTCCTGGGTTCTGGAAACAACCTACTGGCCAGGGTTGCTCTTCCCATCCTGGGACAGCTCAGTCTTGGTTTGAGGACAGGACTGTTGGCTAAGGAGAAAAGAGGTCATAATGTCAGGGGAAAGGAGACTGATTTTGTTTTAAAATGAAGTACTAGTCCTTTCTCCTCTGCTTTTTGGAATTAAAGCTATAAACCACAAATATGCTTAACAGTCATGGCCCCAGGGATGAGGTAGACTTGAAGTGCTCTTTTGAACCAAGGACAGACCTTACTTAGGGTTCCATCTAAACAGGGGCTCCCTTAGGAAAGGGGCAGGCAATGTGACAGAGCATGGAGAACAGTAAAGATGAGGGTTTGGGGCTCTGGTTTCTGATGGGAGATGATACTTTTCTGGGGTAGTGGGAGGATCGCAGGTCTGGCACCTACTCCTAAATTTGTCTAGGGATATGGTCTATCTCTGTTGACTCTCTCCCATCCTCCTTTCCTCTCAAGGTGCCTCTTGCACCTGTGCAGGCTCCTGCAAATGCCAATCATGCCAGTGTTCCTCCTGCAAGAAGAGTAAGTATTTGCAGGGTTGGGCTGGGGGGAGAAAGGAGGAAGACTTTTCATGGGTTGAACTTAAATAGACTTTGCCCTATCTGAGAGATTCCTGGGTGTAGCCCTGGGTTGAGGAGAGGGGGTCAGGGTGGGAAGGAGGCCCATGGGATGATTTCCTACTGGTACAAAGTCCCCTAAATGTTCCATGAGGATCCTGGTAAGCTGTCTTCTTTCTCTTGCTTCTGAAACCCATCACAATAAACATCCCCGGGGCTGGACCCCACCAGACTCTCAGGTCAGGGTCCCTCACATTCATTTTCTATCATTCCTTTTCAGCCTGCTGCTCCTGCTGCCCAGGAGAATGTACCAAGTGTGCCCAGAACTGTGTCTGCAAAGACCCCCAGACAAGGAGTTGCAGCTGCTGCCAATAATGTCCTCACTTCCCTTTGACTGTAAATAGAAGAATTTGTGCAGACCTGAATTTTTATACAGCATTGCATGTGTTTTCTACTGTTTTTCTATGAAATATATGAATTAAAATAAACGATGAATACCTTTATGTTTCTTGCCCTCTTTGTCTATTTGGAGAATATTCATTCACATCAGCTTACAAACTCTCTTTTCTGCCCAACTCTACAAACCTGTATGGTGGCTTGTAGGATCAATATTATCCTTATTTAACAGTTGAGTAAACAGTTCTAGAGAGGATAAATGGATTACTCACAATCAAGTATGCAGAAAACTCAGTTAAGGTGTAGATGGGAATGTGGCTCTACCCTGGAGGTTTGGGAAAGGGCAAATGACCTCCCTGCCAGGAATACAGAAAGGTTGGATTACCTTTCTTAATAGAAGGAAAGATACTAAGGCTCTTTTTTTGGTAATCTTGGGGGGTTGGACTGGTGGTCTGGGGGCAAGGTGGCAATGGGATAGGTGGCACAGTCAGTGCTAATACTATCCAGTTAATCTGGGGGCTAAGCCTCCCAAGCCATTGTTAGTTCTTATACCACATATTACATTTCTATAATAAGACTTATGTCAGAAATAGACAATTTGACCTAAGCTTTGTGGGTAAAAAAGTTTGGGATAGCTTGATAGAGATTGGCTCTTTCAGACTGAGTTGTCAGTTATAGATTAATTGAAGGGCCCTCAAGTTTGGTCCAGTTTATCCAGGGTCCCATGGCTTAATGGGTACCAGAAGTGAGATTTCAAGCTAGCTACCAATGACTCCAGTGTCAATAATACCCTGTCTGCTATACCATGCCTCCTCTAAGAAAGAGCTGAATCCAGAACTTATTAAAGAAGAAAGCTTTTTTCCCCTACAGTTTCCTAAAATAGTGCTATTATTATTATAGTTATTTAGTTTGGCATGCATGGTATTTGTAGACAAAAGGAACTCGGGGCAAGGGATGGATAACCATGCAAAGGGTGATATTTTGGAGCATTCCAAAACAATATTATCTGAGAAAGAGGCTATTGCTACTATGGTATTCGTCCATTCTACTACAAATAAATAAAATATAAAATACAACTCCCTCTCCTTATGGCCATTTGGGTATGTTATAGAGGACATTTTTTTGTGCGTGTATGGACTAGACTAGAGGTTCCTTCCAACTCTCAAAATTCTGTGATTCTTTGAATTACATTTGATGTGATATATTTCTTTTTTTCTTCTCTTATTTTTTTATTTGGTATTTTATTTTTCCCCAGTTATGTGTGAAAATAATTTTTAACATTTTTTCTTAATTTATTTTTAGTTTTCAACATTCACTTCCACATGATTTTCAGTTCCAAATTTTCTCCCTATCTTGTCCTTCCCCCCACCCCAAGATGGTATGCATTCTGAACACCTCCTCCCCTAATTTGCCCTCCCTTCTATCTCTCCCACCCTCTCTTATCTCCTTCCCCTTCTATTTTCCTGTAGGGCAGGATAGATTTCTATACCCCATTGCCTATATATTTTATGTGAAAACAATTTTTAACATTTGTTTTTAAAATTTTGGGTTCCAAATTTTCTCCCTCCCTTCCCACCCACCTACCTTCATTGAGGAGGCAAGCAACTCCATAGAAGTTATACATGTGTAGTCATAACTTTTTTTTTCAACTTTGAGTTCCAAATTCTTTCCCTTCCTCCCTTCCCACCCCTGCCCCCATGGAGAAGGCAAACAATTCAATATAGGCTATACATGTATAGTCATGCAAAACACACCCATAATAGTCATATTGTGAAAGAAAACATAGACCAAAAAAATAAAGTAAAAAAAAAAGTATGCTTTAATCTGTATTCAGACATCATCAGTTCTTTCTCTGGGGATGGATAGCATTTTTCATCATAAGTCCTTCAGAGTTGTCTTGGATCATTGTATTGCTGAGAATAGCTAAGTTATTCACAGCTGATTGTCTTACAATATTGCTGTTACTTTGTACATAGTGCATTTCACTTTGTGTCAACCCACATAAGTCTTTCCTGGTTTTTCTGAAAGCATCCTGCTCATCATTTATTATGGTACAATAGTATTCCAGGTTGTGATATATTTCTTAAATAAAATCAGGCATGTTTTTCAAAAGAGGAGTTTTAAAAAGAACAAAATATTAGTTCCGTCCTTCCATTTGCAGAGGAAAAAAGAGCCAGAGAGAAGTGACCGGCTCAAAGAGTGGTGAACTTGGAGTCATGTAACCAGGGTTTAGAATCTTGGCTCTGCCACTTACTACCTGTGTGACCTTGCAGAACTCATTTATGGGCCCCAGTTTCCCCACCTGTAAAATGAAGAGGGTGGACTAGATGATGTGGGAGTTTCCCTCCAGCTCTAAAGCTATGATTCTTGGTGTTAGCTAGGATCCTAGTTATTCAGTGGGAGAGCTGAAAGTGGAATCTAATTATTATTTGAATGCAGATTAAGATGGTAAGATCCATAGGTTTTGAACTGGAAGGGACCTTAGGGGTCATTAAGTTCAACTCCCTTATTTTTCAGATGAGGAAACTGAGGCCCAGAGAGGTTGTGACTTCCTCAGGATCAGACAGCTAATAAGTGTCTGAATCAGAAGGTCAAACACATTGCTTACTTCAAGCCTGACCTAGGTCAAGCTGCCACTGGAAGGAAAGACCATTGAATATGGATGGGGACCAGGGATTGAATCCCTGACTAGGACTTATCTATGTGACCTTAGGGAAGTTATTTTACCTCTCTGGGCCTCAGGCCAGAGATCTGCCAATCACTAAAGAGCTTTCTGGTTCTAGGCCCTATAAGATGGTCTCTTTTCTATGAGATGGAAGCTGGTGATCCTCTCTTCTAAAACTACATGTTAGGACTCCTTGCAGCATCCTTGCCCAGAGTTGGTGTCAGTCAGTGCAGCTGGCCAGCAGGATCGAGCCTTCCAGGGTTTTACCAGCCACTCTCCCCATTTCACAAGACAGAGCCTGTGGAGAACCTTTTCAAGTACCACATTCCTCGGTGCCTACATTTAATTGGGCTCATGGAGAAGCACAAACTAAAGTTATGTTTGCTTATTAGGTGGACGGGATGAGGCCAAAGAAGACATAATTAAAGCCAACAGTTGACCCTCAGGCTCAATACGTGCAGAGGGAATTAATTATCCTTAGAACATCAAAGAGGGAGAATAGTCACCTGGCCCTTCAATCAGGACTACATTAGCCAGCTAGGAGTTTTCTATAACATAGGCATCTCAGTAAAGGGAACTTAGAGTTAAGATACCTGGTTTCCACACAGATTCTGTCCCTCATTAGCTGTGTGACCTTGAATAAGTTACTTCTCTGGGGCTCGGTTTCTCACCTCTATAAAACAATGGTGCTTTCCTGTCTGCTCTCTGAGGTCCTTTCCACTTTTCACCTTCTCACATTTTCCAGGAGTATGGCTGTTTCAGGAAGCCTTTGAAGGAAGTGAGGAGGATTGAGAAGGCAGGGAATCCCAGGCACAGGGTAGGAGTGGGAAGATTGGTCTCAGGCAAAACAAAAGGTGCTAGATAGAGGGCGATGTTACTCCTGATGACTTCATTATTAAATTTCGGGCATTTATATATCTCTTTTAATGTTTGCAAAGCGTTTTATTCATAATTTCATTTGTTTCTCACTAGAACCCTATGAGTCAGGGGTAGTTATTCCCATTTTAAAAATAAGGAAACTGAGGCACATAAAGGTTAAGTGATTTGGCCAGGGTCGCCTAGCAAGTGTCTGAGTCAGGAGCTGAATGTCTTCTGACTCCAGGAAGACCCAGTGTTCTAATTACCATACCACACTGCGTCTTGGACCATTAATGGTGGAGCCGCTGATTATTTTTGGCAGTGGTTTGATCATTCATCTAGGGTTTCTGTGTTGTAAACTGGTGTTTTCTGGTAGCCTTTCCTCTCCCTCACCTCACAGTTAATTAGTAACCAGGTCCCTTGTACATAGTAGGCATTAAGTATTTTTGTTATTTTTGCTGTCCTATCTAACTTGCCTTTGCAGATCGCCCCCAGACTTCTCTATTCCCATTGTCAACTCTGGTTCAACAGAAAGAAGAAGGGAGTTGGAATCATAGGACCTGGGTTCAAATCCTGTTCCTTCTGTTTCTACCTGTGTAACCCTGTCACTTAGCTTCTCCGGATCTCAGTTGCCTCATCTGTAAAATAAGGGAGTTGGACTAGATGATTTCTCCAATTCCTTCCAGCTCTAAAGCTATGATACTATACAGTAAACCCAGACAGCTAGGTAGCTCAATGGATAGAGTGCTGGGCCTGGAGTCAGGAAGACTTGAGATCAAATCCAGCCTCAGACACTTATTAGCTGTGTGACCCTGGGCAAGTCACTTACCCTGTTAGCCTCAGTTTTCTCATCTGCCAAATGAGCTGGAGAAGGAAATGGTAAACCACAGCAGTATCTTTGCCAAACAAACCCCAAATGGGATCACAAAGAATTGGACGTGACTGAAAAACTTGAACTAAACCACCAACCAGCAATCAGAAGCAACTCTTTCTTGAGGCTGTTCAAAACATGTCTGGCTCAATGCTAGATGTAGGAAGGTGGTTCTACTATTCTATAAAGCCTCTCAGACTACCTCTGTCTCCCCAGTGTCTAAACTGTTATTAGTGATTCATTTCTTTGAGTTAAATATTGATCGACCTCTCCCTGTCAGCCCTGTACAAAATACAACTCACTGCTCTGGGAGGGGGGAAGCTCAAAATTAGTGCCCATTCACATAGTGAATTAGTGTGAATGAATTTAGCAACTTCCTAGTAACAAAGGGGACTTTATATAACTTGAGAGCAGGTGTCTGGCAGGGGAGCTACTACAGAAAATAGGGAAAACAGAAGGGCAAGGGGAGCCCTAAATTTTTTTCCTATAAACTTTTATGACCACAATTTATCTAGAGGGAGAAGGCACAGATAAGAATGAGAAGTGGGAGTAGGAGGAGTGTGGAAAGCAGGGGGCACTCAGCTTGGCTTCTCAGAGGACTGGGTTATCTAGGTCTCTAGTAGGGAAAATGACCCTCTCACCACATACAGAAGAATCCAGGGAAGGGAAAGTCTAAGCTTATCATAAACTCCAACAAGAAGGAACCAGAAACT